TTATAGTTCATAACAATTATTTACAATATGTCAATACTAATTCTTATTACTTTCGATTCAATTGCATACTTATTCATCAACGCCTTTGTGCATATATATGAAAGTATCACTTTAAAATATCCTTAAACTTTACAAGTTGATATTAATTTTTTTTTAATAAACTCGTGTAATACAAAGGTCTTACACCTAGTTAACTAATTTAGAATGATTATTAGACGAGAAATTATATATCTTCTAACACTTTCTTCCTATTAGTCTTGCGGTCCATATTAAATGGTAACAAGTAGATTAAAATATTATTAATTTTATTAAATACTAGGTGTGAGACCCGTGTATTACACGGGTTTATTAAAAATAAAAATTTAATATCAATATATAAACATGAAATGTTTTATAAAGTAATAATTTACATAACAGAATGTAATCTTTTGGAACATTTGCAAAAGAAATTAAATCGTTTGGAGGATTTATGAGAATTTATTATCAAATCAATAGGATGATTTTATTTCCTTATAAAACTCATTGCAATTTTATGGAATTTTATTTTAAGAAAATGGAAATCCCTAAAAAATGACAAGTGGAAAATAAAAATTCTAAAACTCTCATAAAATGACAAGTGTCAAAATGAAGGAGAAGATGACATGTGACAAAAAAAATCTTCATTTATTAGAGAAGATGACACGTAAATATTTGACGGGTACGAGAATAAATAGAAAGAAAATATAAAAGAATATTTAATTTCTACCGGAAAGAAATAAAAAATAATTTTTGAAATTAATTTGATCAATGGAAATATGGAATTGGTAATAGAAAATGAAAGTGATATTTTTATTTATGGTTTTGATTCGTCTTAATAAATTGTTTTAATAAATAGATAAAAAAAAAAAAAATCAACTTCCCATTAAAAAATGGATCAACTTTGGACACAAGAGGTGAAATACGTCAGCAAGATATGCTTTTCTTTTACGTGTTACTTTTACGGTTGTTCTTTAACAAATGTATATCTACATGTGGCATAATGATATTTATTGCATCTTATAAATTGTTTGAATTGTTTAAAAAAATTAAATAAATATATTTTAAGGACAATTTTAAAACTTGGTTAAAAAAGTTTAATAGTTTTTTTAAAATCGTTAGATGAGTAACTTTTAAATTCAAGTTTTTTTGTTTAAATTAAAAACTAAATTTTTGTTTTGGCAAACAAAATTTTTTATTAAAAGCTTGGAAGTAGTTATTGCCAAACACGCTGTAAATATCTTTCGAATTTTGCAAATGTATCTTCGTCAAAATTAATTTTCAACTTTCACGAGTTTAGGACGTTCATACTAAATTTTAAAGATGTTAATTATGTAAGAAACTTAAAAATCGTTTTAAATATTTGATAGTTATTAAACAATATAAATATTGTTTTTCATAAGCAAATCGCGATTGCACCGCACCTTCTTGCCTTCTCTCAAACTCACACCGCCATGTTAACCACCGATCTCGCCACCATCTTACCTCGCGTGCTCATAGTATCCAGACGAAGCCTTCGCAAGAACAAGTTCGTCGATTTCGTCGGTATATGATACTTCTACTTCGTTTATTCTTCTGATCAATCACTCATTTTCAACTTCTCATGCAACCCCAATCGAATCACGAACTTTATAATCATCGTCTTTTTCTCATGCATGTACACATTCCTTTGATTAATTTGAAGTTTTTTCATGATCTATTGTTAAATAGTTAGTCCTCACTTCGATTCGATCCAATTTAGTATTCAATTGCACGAACTACTTGAATCCATGTTAAGATTTTCAGTGCGAATTTTGTTTTTCTGTGACCTAATAGTACTTATCTTATCAGGTGAATATCATCTAGATCTAATTGTCGGATATGGAGCTGTTCCAGTGATTGTACCTCGAGTGACCGGAGTCAACATGTTACTAGAGAGCTTTGAGCCAATCCATGGAGTTCTTCTATGTGAAGGAGAAGACATCGATCCATCACTTTACGAATCAGAAACAACGATTCTATCACCCGAAGAGTTGGATGAAATCAGACTCCTCCATTCCAGCGACACCACAATCGACAAAGAAAAGGACATTATCGAACTATCTCTTGCAAAACTCTGCTTAGAACGAAACATTCCTTACTTGGGAATATGCAGAGGTTCACAAATTCTAAATGTAGCATGTGGAGGTACGCTTTACCAAGACATTGAGAAGGAAATAACGAAAAACTCTCCCCAAGTGAAGAAAGTGAGTCATATCGATTATGAAAACTACGATGGACATAGACATTTGGTGAACATTGTGAAGAACACCCCTTTGCATCAATGGTTTCACGATTCTCTTGAACATGACAAGATGGAGATTAAAGTCAATAGTTATCATCATCAAGGGGTTAAGAGATTAGCACAACGTTTCAAGCCCATGGCGTTTGCACCAGATGGATTGATTGAAGGGTTTTATGATCCTGACTCTTATAATCCTGAAGAGGGTAAGTTTATAATGGGGTTACAGTTTCATCCTGAGCGAATGAGGAGATTAGCTTCAAATGCTTCAAATGAATTCGATTATCCTGGATGCCCTGCTGCTTATAAGGTGAATAGAATCTAATAATCTTCTCTTTCAATGAACTTTTTTTTTAATCTTCGCCATTGTAGACTGAATTTTCCTTTGTTTGAAGGAATTTGTGAAAGCTGTGTTGGCATATCAGAAGAAGCTTAACAACATGTTGAAAGTAGAGAATTCTTTAAAGCTTGATAAAGATTTGGAACAAAGAAGAAAGCTTATTGTTCATAGCTTCTCTCTTGCAAGAAACATATATGCAACAGGTAACAATTTTCATCCATCTGAAGAGTCTGATCTCAAACCAGGAGCAGAATTTCTTGAGGTAATGTATATACATGAACTAAACCACCATCATAAAAACACATATTCTTCTCTTCACTCAATCATGGAGTTTTTTAATCGATTTCAGTCAAACACAGCGTTAAGTTTGCAACAAGAGAAGAGATTGAAACAAATGGGAGCAACAGTAAGAAATTCATCTTCATACATGGAGAAAATGAAGCTAAATGAAGAAAGAGAGAAATTAGCGAGAGTTATGATGGGGAAAATGACAGTAGAACAGTTATCTGATTTAGCTTTATTCTACCACATGATGGAGAAGATAAGCTCTGAAGTGTTAGACAAAAAGCTTCAAGATTCTGCGAGTCTTGATCGATCTTCCTGATTCACACACTTTTTGAACTTATTATTTTGTTTCTCAAAAGAATAAAAAAAAAGCTTCTGATTTAGATAACATCAAACCTTGTAAAGTATCTCATGGAATATTATAAACTTACACTATTAATATATTACATATATATACTTGTATAGCTTAAAACTACAATCCAGCACTATAAAAGTCAACGAGTCTTGAAGAATCAAAAGTCAACGAGAAATCGACATAAGAACAACTCATAGCTATTTTATACATAACTCCTAAGTCAACTTTATCCTATCTTTGAAACCATCCAAGAATCTATCCATTTCTGGGAATTTCACAACCCAAATCCTCTCTAATCCTCCATGAATCCCAAACATTTTCTCCTAAATTTTCTTACTTTGATTGTTCTTGGAGAATGTTCAACCACCATAGACAAATTCTATGGCACATGCAATGATTCTTTCACTTGTGGGACTATTTCGGGCTTCCAATTTCCATTTCGGAGACAAAACGACCCCACAAACTGCGGGTACCCGGGTTTTGAAATAAACTGTGATGAACATAACCCACCTACCTTTACCATCAAGAACATGACTTACCAGATTCAGAACATCGATCCAACGGTCCAGATTTTGAAGATTGTTAGAGAAGATATGATCGAGTCAATCTGTCCACAAGATCAAGTCAACACCACCATGGATTACAACCTTTTCGATTTCAATTCCGGCTACATGAACATGAGCTTCCTTTTTGGGTGCCCGGATTCTTGGACCGGAATGGGAGGTGGGTTTGATTTGTGTGGTAACAATGGGGGTAAACCGGTCTTTTTGACAGTAGGGGTACATGGGCCCGGGGATTGTGGAAGTAGTGTTGTGGTTCCGGTTCCGGTTGAGTTTGTGGAGCCGAATGCGTCGGGTCGGGTTGTGGGAAACGGGTTTGAGGTTAGGTGGAAGGTGGATGATGAGATTTGCACTGGGTGCAGGCAGTCTGGCGGACAGTGCATGTATGATAATAGTACACGCCTGACCGGCTGTAGCTGCCCGAATCAGGTTTTTTTGGCAGATAGTTGTGACGGAGTTAACAAAACTCGAGACGAGTCATCACCCTCATCAAGTAAGAAACTATTTTTTATTTGGTTTTTTTATCAAAATGAATTATATTTATGATTAGGTTATTGACAAATTAGAGGTCCATATGGACTATGCAAGACTGGCCAAAAGATTTTGGCCGGTCTGGTAAAAGCCTAAAAATTTTCAGTCCAGAAAATACTTTGATGATCGGCTTCTAGACTGGCCATTTCGGATACAAAAATTAGGTCTGTTCAACCGGGCGTCAACTAGGCAGTCTGGAAAAGTATGAAAAAGTTTGTAAGCTTTGGTCTTTTTGTGTATACCTCTAGCCAAAGTATGGTAATGATAAGAAACCTATGTTTTGTTTAGAAGGAGAGTTCGATTCAAATTTAAGCATGGTGGATTAGAATTTACGGTAATTAATTTGACCACTTGAGTTGAGTTTAAATACCCTAAAATCTTGACTTAAATGACATTTAGAATGTATAAGTAACTCTTTTAGAGTGAAATATGTTATTTAATAAGTTATACAAATCAAATATTTTGGTCTTTTGAAAATTGACGTGCAAAAGTATACGTTTCTTATGACTTAAGAATTAGAGTTCACGTTATACATGTTTATCTTGACGTGGTTTCTCATAAGTATATCTTTTTAGTTGTTAATATACTTACTCAACTAACGCTTCATTATTTTAATATAGAAAGAGCATTTTATAATGAAATTAACTAAGATGAACGTTGCATAAATTATATATTAATAAAGTAGATATTAGATTAAAAAGCCTGCAAAATATATAAATAGTTGTGGTTCTTCCCATGGTACATTATTCAAATGATAGTTGTTGGTCCGTGGTAGATTAATAAATAATGAAAGACTTCTCAATTAAAGAATTTCTCGCGTAATTTACACCACTTTATCTTGTTTTAAATTTATGGCATTGTACTTCATACCAATTTATTTTTCTTTAATTTGACAAAGTCATAAAAAGTGGTTAAAGTCATAATTTTAATAATGACAGATTAATAGCCAATATTGCTACCCCTACCCCCACCTCCCTTCCTCACATCCATTCCTATATCATATTTGCCTTTATATTTCATCACAGTATTAGAGTTTGATATTTTGGTTTTATTTCAAACAACTAGTATTTATACTCAAACAATTCGTATAACCTAATGTTTTCTATCAGATATTTATTCGGCATAAAACAACAAAATCTCTCTCTCTCTCTCTCTCTCTCTCTCTCTCTCTTGTTTTTGTCGTAGACATACCACATAAATTGATTGTATCGTTGTTTTCGCTTGTATTATTACTAGCGTTGGAATTGGTACGGTACCAATTCATTTTTCTCTAAACCGTGTACCGTACAAACTATAATTGATAACAAAAAATTACTGCTGATACCGTACTAAGTATACTTGGTACCAATATAGTTGACTACCAACAAGTTTAGTTGATACAAATTGGTAATGGTATATACCAACTTCTTTTAATTTTCTATTGTAAGATTTAAAAATAAGCAAAGACATTGAGTAATTTTGATGTTTAATATAGAAAATAGTTATGTAGTTCTTTTAGTTTACAAAAGAATTTTATTGAACTAACGCTAAAGTAACGTTTTCATTTTGTGCTTTAACGTGGTAACAACTGTTGACTAATGCGACCAAACGAATTGTATAATGTTCTTAAAAATGTAAGCACTAAACACAATTAGCAGTTGAAATATACGATTTTGTTTATA